TCTGTTTGCAGCGTCAACATCAAAGATGTCAGTAAAATAACTGTTTATATTATTCTACAGGACAACTGTTACTGAACAATGTTGATATTTTAACCATAACTATTGTTTGTTTCTCTGACATGGAAAAAGAAAGTCATCTTTCATATATATTACTGGGTTTTGCATTTGATATAAAAAAGACATGCTGGACATTGGAAATCCTTTAAATGAACGATCCAAGATTGTAGGAGGTACCTGAATAAATCAGTTAAACCTTTGGGCAAAACGACGGGACCTTCTTGTCAGTCTACAGCCGCTAGTTTTCTGAGACAGACTCAATGAGAACAAAACACGCAAAGAACATATAAACCATACATTTTAAACCCGAACATAGCTTCAACTATAAGAACTTTCTTTGATTTTATTTAGCTTTACGAAGATTGTATAAAATGGCCAAAGCTTCGTAGAGTTAGTACTAGGAAGTTTTGAAAGTCCCTGCCGTATCAGGGGTGGATTCAGACCAGTAAAAAAACAACAACAACAAAAAAAACTCAGTAATATCAGCATCCATTTCTTTGTTCATAGAACGCTGAAAGAGAGGAAGTATTGCTTGACCAATTGTATCCGTTTAATGATTAAGGAAGTGACCATAACGCACGTGCTTAAGATAAAATTGGCTGCTTAAATCGTCTTCTGCGGCGTTTGTATTTCTAACCACGCTCTCTATGTATGATTCATGTGTAATCTTATATCAAAGTTCTTTTCTTCAAAAAATCATTTATCTCAGGTTTTTCAGCTTTGGAATAATGATACCTGAAATATGCTCTGGCGCAGAGTCCATATATAATGCTTATCGTGACGTAAACCTTCAGTCAGTGAGTCTTGTAGCAAGTCTTTTCGTAAGAACGGGCCACTAATACCGGAAATGTATCAACGAGTGCAACTAGGCTTAACGTCAGTTGATTAAAAAAACAAATACACACACACACACACACTTGAAAATCATATATAATTATTTGAAATAAAAATATTAATGTTAAAATCGTTTACGGCTTAAGCCTTTTATTAGGTTGTACACCTAAAACGGACAGGCAAAATTATAAGAAAATGAGAACAAATACTGCATTATAATACTTAACTTTGATGTTATAACCATACAAGAAAGCTTAGAAGTATGTGATTTTCACCATATAGTTACAATAACTAGCTTACTTGATATCCTAGTAGTTTTATTATTGCCCTCACGGCATCTGTTTTGATTCCTGTCTATTTTTTTTTAAACCAAATGTTACGTGGGTAGCAATAAAACACGGTAGTTAAGCCTATTAAAGAAAATCACAATGCATTAGGAAGTTGAAACAGATCTTAAGTGACTTAAGTCTTTATCTGATATTGACTCTGCAAACAGACCGTACTAACTCAAGTACAGATTAAGTCTATACCTGATGTTGACGCTGCAAACAGACCGTACTAACTCATGTACACGTTAAGTCTATACCGTGCATATGATTCTACATGACAACTGTTACCGATGTCAGTAAAATACCTGTGTATATTATTCCACGGGACAACTGTTACCGATGTCAGTAAAATAATTGTTTATATTATTCTACAGGACAACTGTTACCGATGTCAGTAAAATAATTGTTTATATTATTCTACAGGACAACTATTACCGAGATTATCCTATGAGGAGAGACAAAATTCTCTAAACTTGTTTTCTCTGGAGAGGAGAAGAGTCAGAGGAGATTTGATTGAGGTGTTTAAGATTATTAAGGGTATTGATGATACAGATCCATCAAATGTTTTTGTGTTTAGCAGTGAAAACAATAGGACAAGGGGGCAGAAATTCAAATTTTGGGAGCTTAGGAGTCATCCGCAGTTTAGCCAGTATTACTTTTCAAACAGGATGGTTAGCTTTTAGAATGAGCTGCTTTAAACGATGGTGGATGCAGAAAATTTAACTGAGTTCAAAAAAAATTGGATGAATACATGAGTAGTAAGGAGTGGCTATAGTTGAGAGCTGGAAGGGACATCCTTGATGGACTAATAAGCTCTTTTTTGTCTCTTAAAAATCTTATGAAATTCGT